TTTGTCTGCTTATGTGGCTGGTTCTCCTTTTGACAGGTGTTTAGATGCCATTGGTTCTTGGTGTAACGTTGGGTTCCAATAATGTTGGGCTTTAGTGTTTGAACCGTGTATTGGGCTCTAAGTGGTGGGCCAAACGAAAGGAATAAGGAAGAAGACTGGGATTGTGGGTAACGTTGGGTTCCTCTATGGGCCCACCTGTGTCAGTAGTCTCTCATTCCCAAGTGCAGCTTGAGCCTAACGAAAGGAATAAGGAAGAAGACCGGGATTGTGGGTGGTCGAGTGAAAGAAGGACCGACGGCGAAGGGCGATCGGAAAAAGTCCAACCGAGAGGAGAGTCGACCGCAAAGGGGGACCGAGAGAGAAGACCGATCGAAAGGAGAGCAGACTGCAAACGGGGACCGAGTGAGAAGACCGACTGTGAGGAGGGCCGACCACAAAGGGTTACCGAGTGAGAAGATCGACTAAGAGGAGCGCCGACCGCAAAGGGTTAACGAGCGAGAAGACCGACTGAGAGGAGGGTTGACCGCAAAGGGTTACCGAGCGAGAAAGTGGCGGCGCACGGGGCTCGAGGAGCGGCGGGACACGTGGTGATGTGAAGTGGAATAGACAGGGAAGGGGAAAAAGGTAATGAATCGTGGTCGTACACGTGTCATAATCTCGCAATAAGGGAGGTGATGCGGTAGCAGGAAACGAAAAGGTATAACGACTATAGGACGTGGAAAAGGCGAGGGTGGAAGGCGAGGGCCATTTTTTCAAAGGCTGGTCGATGAGAACCACTATGGAGTGAGCTTGGAAATAAGGCCAGAGGCGTCTCGAGGCTATAACCAAGGCGAGGGCCATTTTTTCCAATAGAGGATAGTTCTGTTCCGCCCCCCTGAGAGTGTGGCTGATATAGTAGACTAGACGTTGTACTGAGCTATCTTCCCTGATGAGGGCAACACTGACTACAGTGTTTGATACGACTAAGTAGATGAAGAGAGTTTTGCTTGGGAGCGCCTGAGAAAGGAGGGGGATTGGCCATGCACTGCTTGAGTTGTTGAAAAGTTTCCTCAGATTCGGTATTCCACTCAAAAGTCTATCGGAGGACTTTAAAAAATGGAAGACATTTGTCTGTTGTTCGAGAAATAAAACGGTTAAGGCCGGCGACTCTGCCTGTGAACCGTTGAACCTCATTGACCGTTGGGAGACCATATTTCTATCAAGGCCTTGATCTTTTCGGGGTTAGCCTCGATGCCTCGCTGGCTGACCATAAAGCCCAAGAACTTTCCGGATCCTACGCCGAAGGCGCACTTCTCCGGATTCTGTTTCATCTGATATTTGCGTAAGGTTTCGAAGGTTTCTCGTAGGTCTGCCAAATGATCAAAGGAGAGTTTACTCTTAACTAGCATGTCGTCGAAGTATACTTCCATGTTCCGGCCTATCTGGTGTTGAAAGACGGTATTGACCAGACGTTGGTAAGTTGCTCTGGTATTTTTCTGTCCGAACGACATAACACGATAGTAATAAGTTCCTCTATCTGTGATGAAGGATGTGTGTTCTTGATCGGCCGGGTGCATTAGAATTTGATTGTAACCGGAGAAGGCATCCATGAAACTAAGCATCTGGTGTCCAACAATGGCATCGACCAACAGATTTATCCGGGGAAGGGGATAACTATCTTTGGGGCAAGCTCGATTAAGATCGGAATAGTCGACGCAGAGCAAGCTAACTTGTACAAATAATACGAATAGCAAAAGTGGATAATTATGAACTGATTTTAACTAAGTCTGTCAGGGACTAATTGTAATTGCATACTTGGTCTGGATGAGGCTAGTTTTGACTCAATCTGGCTAAGTTTTTCGAAGGGCTGAGTTCTTCACGCCCAGTCTGGCCAAGGCTTGAAGGGCTCAGTCAAGCTGAGGCCTTAGTTATCTCAGTCTGGCTGAGTTATTCACGCTTAATCTGGTTGAGACTCGAAGGGCTTAGTCAGGCTGAGGCTTTAGATAACTCAATTGTCTGTGCTATCTTCATGCACAGTCTAGCTGAGACTTGAAGGGCTCAGTCGGGCTGAGGCTTTAGTTATGTCAATCTGGCTGAGTTATTCACGCTCAGTCTGGATGAGGCATGAAGGGCTAAGTCGAGCTGAGGCCTCAGTTATCTCAGTCTAGCTGAGTTCTTCACGCTCAGTCTGGCTGAGGCTTGAAGGCCTCAGTCGGGCTGAGGCCTTAGTTATCTCAGTCGAGCTGAGTTCTTCACGCTCAGTCTGGTTAAGGTTTGAAGGGCTCAGTCAGGCTGAGGCCTTAGTTATCTCAGTCTGGCTGAGGCTTGATCAAAAAGTTGTTATTGAAATGCAACACAGATAATGAAGATGCCAGATTGTTGTCAATTAAGGCACATCCTGTTGATCACAAGTTTACACAATGTATGGAAAGGGCAAAAATGAACAAGTGTGCAGATCGGCAAAAAGAACATGCAACAATCGAAACTGATAATACCTGATAGTACTGCTGATCGTAGACCCACACTTTCAACGTCGTTCCTTGATCACTGAACCCACCGGGGTACTTGCGCAAAAGCACAGCGGGGAACGGGAGTCCCCAAGCGGACCCTCTGACGGTCAAGTTAGAAGAGAGAGAGGTTAATGGCGAATGATAGGGGAATAACGATAGGGCACTTAACATTTTTGTGTCTTGTAAGCCTCCTTATATCCTTTGTTCATCATTTCTTTGTCAACTCCGACCTGTCACGTTGATCGAAAGTCTACTGAGGGGTTCGCTGTGTATATTGGGAGGGTCTAGCTTCAAATTCCTTTATTTTCTCCCTGGGGTTGGATTTTTAGCTGTAGTATCTTGGCGGGCTGCCACAGAGTCTTCAGCGTTCATATATTTTTGGGCTTTGGAAATAAGGGTAGCCATAGAGGTTGGCGGGTTTTTGAAAAGAGAGAAAAGAAATTGAATGATCGTAAACCGGCCATGAAGGCCATGAGGATGACCTTGTCGTCGTTTTCCGCCACCTGTAGGGCTTCGGCATTGAAACGGGTGACAAAGCTACGTAGCGACTCCCCCTCCGTCTAGCGAATAATAAGAAGCTGAGTTTCCTGACGCCGCTGGTGCTGAGTGCCAATGAAGTGGCACAGAAAGAAATCACTTAGGTGTTGGAAAGTAGAAACGGAATCCGATGGTAGCTGACTAAACCATAGTCGAGCCGACCGCTTAAGTGTCACGGGAAAAGCCCAACACATGATCTCATCAGGAAAAGCATAAAGGATCATTAGGGTTCTGTAAGTCTCCAAATGGTCAACTAGATTCGTTGTGCCGTCGAGAGAGTCGATCGAGGGCATTTTGAACTTGGGAGTTAGGGATTTGCCCCTGATGGAGGCGACAAACAAAGAATCGACTATTATGGAGGGTTTATTCTGTATATTCTGCATGACTCCTTGAAGCTAGAGTTTCATGGCTCGGAGTTCTACATCCCAAATAGGAACATTGTCACACCCCCAGGGCAGTGGAGGCTAAACACTGTTAGCCTCTCCTTCAGGAGCAAGTGTTTGACCGGACGGATGTAAACCTCGAGGTGGCAGGTTCATGTCTTGGGATAGAGCTTACCGACCCTCTAAGTTAGAGAGATGGGCTTGTTGGAAAGGATGGCTCGGGGTTTGTTGGAAGGGATATCTTATGGTGGTGGATGAGGTACATGGAGGTTTCGCCGGAGCAAAGTGTTGATCAAGGCCTAGTTTTGCTCGGCCAAGCGGTTGATGCTGTTGGTGAGTTCTATAAAGTGCTGAGGTGGGTTGTTTGGATTGGGAGGGTCGGCTTGGGAGTTGACGACATTGTGTTGAGAAGCCATGGATCTCGTTATGACCATTCACCTTGATGGCCAACGAGAAGGGTTGATTGAGGAACGGGTTTCCGGTAACAATGAGCACAATTGTCACGGAATGGCGTTCCCACAGACAGCGCTAAATGATAATACCTGATAGTACTGCTGATCATAGGCCCACACTTTCAACGTTGTTCCCTGATCACTAAGCCCACCGGGGAACCTGCGCAAAAAGCCCAGTGGGGAACGGGAGTCCCTCAGCGGACCCTCCGACGGTCAAATTAGAAAAGAGAGAGGTTAATGGCGAATGATAAGGGAATAACGATAGGGAACTTAACCTTTTTGTGTCTTGTAAGCCTCCTTATATCCTTTGTTCATCATTTCCTTGTCCATTCCGACCTGTCACGTTGGCCGAAAGTCTACGCTCTAGCTTGTCTTATTCATGGTGCCTGCTCCGATGTGAAGTGATAATCGCATTTAATGCTGCAGGGGCTTCATTAATGGCTGATGTGTGGTGTAATAACTCTGCAGGATCTTTGTCTGCTTACGTGGTTGGTTCTCCTTTTGACAAGTGTTTAGATGCCATTGGTTCTTTGTGTAACGTTGGATTCTAGTAATGTTGGGCTTTAATGTTTGAACCGTGTATTGAGCTCTAAGTGGTGGGCCAAAAACCTCTATAGGTCGACCTATGTCATGTTTTGTTGTGAATTTTAACCCAAAAAATTTAAAAAAAGTGTGTATATTTACTTTATATCATACCAAGTGACCGTGTATATTTAATTGAATTGAGCCTCTATCAATTTGAATCTAAACATGATTGTTGTGTTCAGACTTGTAAAGTCTACTATAAGTTATGTTTTGTTAATCTGAATCGTTTATATTGTATAGTCATTCGTTCATATTATTCATGAAAAAAAATTGGGTCGATCTAATAATTATAATTTATTTATTTTTCATGTGTCTCCAAAAAAAATTAGATGACAAATATATTTTTAAAAGTAGACCCATCCATTTTTTTACATAAATTCATAACAAACTAATGCCTCCTTTAGAAAGGCAAAAAAAAAAAAAAAAGGCAATTTATTAGCTTATTGACTTATTTGGGCTCTATCACCTCTCTATTTTTTTTTTTTCACATCTTTTCATAATAAGTCAATATATTTTAAAAAAATAAAAATTAAAATTAAAATGCTTCCCAAAATAAGCATAGGTTTTACATAACAAACTGAATTGCTATTGCATAAAGTTCTAGATCAACAACTACCAACAAGGTTTTTTTTATTTTTATTTTTAAAAAAGACAATAAAATTAAACAAATATAGCATTGATCACCACCCTTCCCACCATTGATTTGTTGAAATGGTATCAATTTGTACGTTCAAAGAAGTTATTGAATGGTGCAATGTTGTTGAGGTCCATAGGAAACTCATCAATCTCATCATTCCACGGATTCATCACCTCGAGGTCAACGGTCCTGATGGCTCGCCAAACCACACTAGTACACTTAAACCCAGATCCAAAGGCCATATGCCATACCTGATCACCGTACTTGATCCTCCCCTTGGCTTCAACATAAGCCAATTCATACCACACCGTACTACTAGATGTATTCCCGAACCTATACAACGTCATTCTAGAAGCTTCCATGTCATCCTCGGTCAACTTCAAACTCCTCTGCAGTTCGTCTAGAACCGGTTTCGCGCCAACATGTGGCAAGAAGTGATTGAAAGACTTCTTCAAATTAGGAACATAGGGCTGGATCTTTGCCACATGGAGGGACCTTATGATGTAGTTGACGAAATACAGGAGTTGTTCCGATACGGGAAGGACTAGGGGACCCAATGTGCTTATGTTGGATTGGATGGCTTTGGATGCAGTGACTAATAGATCTTTGGTCACGGTGACTCCCACGAGTCCATCTTGATCTTCTTCTTGGAAGATGCAGTTGTATGAACGGTCAGAACTTGCCATGTGGGTTTGGACGGTGTGGATGAGTTGATACTTGGAGGAGTGGCGATCCAACGGCCGGTTGGAGAGGAGGATGGCAGCACCACCAATACGGAAAGCGCAATTGATGAGTAACTTGGAATGGTCGTTGCCCATGTAGCAGTTTTGGGTAAGATTCTCTGTACTCACCACTAATGCGTAGCTGTTCTGGTGCACCTGTCCAACATGTCTTACTCCATTGAAGAACTAACAACAAAAAGGAAAATGATATATGCACCTAAAATAAATAAGTTCTTATGTCATTTTGATCGCGTTAATATTTTTAACAAAAAAAAATTTTATAAATTGAGTAAATTTATAATTTTAAGTTTAAAAGTATGACATTTGTCACTTTTATATATATATATATATATATATTTTATTAAAAATAATAATAATTGTCACTTACATGAGTATTTGTCATAACCTTTCAACGAGATCAGCTAACTGGTTTTCACTAGCCAAAACTATAATTTTCATATGAGAAGCTATGGATTCGAACATTGAGCGATTAATGATTAAATATTTTATTCCTACTCTATTTCCCTTAAGCTTACCTTATTATTTTGAATCTGTAATTACTTAGTATATATGAAACAAAACTACATATATTTGAGAGATTAGTTAAGGCAACATTTTAAACAATGTCATGAGTAAAACATACATGCATGAAGTAGTAAGTGGGGAGAATTGGCATCAATTGGGTCAAGTCGAGCTAGACTTAGAGTCAGCTTACACTATTTATCAATACACTTGGGTCATGTTTGTTTGGGTGGACATGAGCTTGGGATTGGACTAATAGTCCAATAAAATTACTAATCCAATGTTTGATTAAACAATTGAAGTACGGACTAATTATTTTAAACTTGACTATTAGTTAAGATAGGATACATAATCCAATGGATTTGTACCCCTAGGACTATTAGTCATGGGAATGCTCATCCAGTCCGCCCAAACAAACATGGCCTTGGTGTCTGTTCAAGTATTACCCGGCTTGAACATCAAGCCTATATTGTCATTCCAATTTTATTTTATATTACTATTTTAGTCCGAACTTACTTCCCAAACAGAGCCTTAAAAAATTTGTTCAATCTCACCCTATAAGCCACAATACAAATGTTAAGCCCTTGAAAAAAATTCATCCCCTAAAACTAGAGCTCTAGTGATGTGGAAAATCAAGAAAAAAAAGAAAAAAACACAACGTCAAAATATCACACTAGATGGGGCTCACACACGCATTAGAGCTCATTTTGTAGAGCTCCCAAACATTTTCCTTCAAAAAAATAAGATTAAGTTTGGTGGGCCAATGACTCTTATATTGATATAATTTGTATAGACATATATAATGTATATAATTTTTTATAAGTAGGTCTCACCAATTAATTAAGTAAAATTTTATTCATTTATATATATGTTTTGTTTCATTATGTGTTTAATTTCTATATTTTAACAGAACTGATACCTGCGTTAAAAATAAAATTAAAAAAAGAATAAAAAAAAAAACTAATAATGATAAGTAAAATTTTAACTACATTCACCGAATGAGAGATCGAATGACATGTCTCAATGTCGTGGAGTAAATGGTTAAAATTCTATATGCAATTTTTTCATCTAAATACACTTTCAAGTAGAGAAGTGGTGCCAATCTTGAGATATGATAGTACCACTAATATACTGTTTATTGGAATGAAAATAGAATAGACTAAATATTTTATCATGATGTTTATTCACATTTTATTTACTAAAAAAATGAAATGATGAGCATAAATTATAAGTAGAATTAACATTTGCCTTTCTAAGAAAATCGTCATTCCTTTAGAGTGGCCAATGGATGATTATTAATTTATTTTATTTCACCTCTATTCCATTCCAGTAAATCAAAACACTAGTTAATAATGTATGAAAATAGATGAACATATTACAATATATAAAGATTTTAGGAACTAAATTTTTTTGTACAAAAGCAAAAATTTTATTGCAAAAAATATTTGGCAATCAAATTTATGTTGTCGCTAAATAATGGTCACAAAAAGTCAAAGAAATGGTTTTTAATGAATTTTTTTTTGAAAATGTTACTGATAAATACATTTTTAATGACAAAATAACTTGGTACCAAAAGGGTTTACTTTTCTAGATGAAATTTTTTGGTTCCCAAAAGGATAGCAATTATCATTAAATATCTAATTTTGTTGATAAAAATATAACCCTGACATTTTTTAGGGAAAAGATAGGGATCATGAAAATTTTGTCATGAAAATGATCATGAAAAATTTATGATCCTTGGATTACCTTGATTAGTGTGTGGCACTTTATTCTAAGTGTAATCCAAGGATCACAAAGTTTTCATGATTATTTTCATGAAAGGTTTTTCATGATACCTAGCATTATTGCATTTTTTATAACTAAAATATTTCATTTCTAAAATCTTAATTTGTTTGAGTGACATAGAGATTTAAAAATATGGAAAGTTTTGCCAGTAATTAACTTAGTATCTTTTTAATGTGAGCATATATAAAACTTAAAGTAGGTTTGTATATTATTTTGCAACTTAAAATGTCGGTATAATTTTTATTGCACATATTTTTAAACAAAATGGGTAAGTATTTTAAGTTTCTTAGGCTCCGTTTGGGAAGAATTAAACAGGACTTTTTTAGCTATTTTAGTCACAAAAGACAAAATAAGCTATTTTAGCGATAAAAAACAAAATATCACATGCAACCCATAATCATTACATTCTTCTCTCACAAAAAAAAGTCAAAAAAGTCAAAAAGCCAAAAAGTCGTTCCCAAACCAAACTTTTTGGCCCAGGCTAAAATAGTCAAAAAGAAGTTAAAAAGCCAAAAAACCAACCCGCTTCCCAAACGGAGGCTTAATAAAATATGTAAAAGTTAAATAAATATGGTCCAACCCAATAAATGTCATGAAATGGCTAGAGATGAGGGAAATAGAGAGTTACAAAACATACCTGAAGCAACTGTTTGGCAAGGTTTATGCCTATGAGTCCAGCAGTGCATCCCATCCCACTAAGACTATAACTTGCAATATCGTCTCTAAGCTTGTATCGATTCACTATCATGCTGGACATAGAAGGCGAAACATTAAAAATACAACAGTTTACGATTAGTATCCCTATATCCTTACATTTCACTCTAGTCTTTCCAAACAGTTCGTCGACAGCTCCAAAAATAACCATCTCGGCTTCTCTCCTCGCCTCCTCCAAGCTTGGATTAATGGGGCCGTTGAGGAAAGCCCGAGGCAAGTATGTCGAGTCACCGTGTCCTACTCTCTCCATTGTCTTCCTCGTGAACTCCACAGTCTCTTCTTTGGCATTCACATACCGCCTTGTTCGATCCACCATGTCTTGTTTGGAGATGCTCTGAGAAGTTGGTGGCTTATAGCATGCGAAGTCCAGCAAGAAGACTTTGCGCGAGGGCTTTGCGATGAAGAAATGGGATAAGAGAGCGATTAGGGTTAGGGGTGTAATGATAGGGAGGTTGTTGAAGAGGTTGAAGAAGGCTAGGAGATCAAACATGTTTGGAGAAAACCAGATGACAAGCTAGCTTTGTGTTGTTCAGTTTTTTGTTTCTCTTTTGTTCCCTGATGAAATATAGCACTGGACTGTGAATGGATGTTGTTTATAAAGACTGTGAATGGGTGTTTGAGAAGAGGTTTTTTTTTAAGGTTTTTTTAGTTGTAAAATATTATTGAATTTTTTTTTTTTTTATGTTTGGAAAGATAGATGGTTTTTTTTTTTGTTGGATGTGATGTTTGTGAGAAAAAAAATGAAATGATTATGCGGTTTGATGTGATATTTTATTTGGATTTATTTTTTTTAATTTTGTAAAACATTTGTCTTATAATAAAAAAAAACAAAAAAAAATCCAAAAATCAAGTTCCCAAACACCCCTTACAAAACAAAACACAGAACTAACTATTGTGATAAAGACACTTAGGGTTGGTTTGGGAAGTGGGTTGACTTTTTGACTTTTTTGGCTATTTTAGCCTGGGCTAAAAAACTTGGTTTGGGAATGACTTTTTGACTTTTTGACTTTTTTGATTTTTTTTGTGACAGAAGAGTGTAATGATTATGGGTTAAATGTGATATTTTGTTTTTTGTGGCTAAAATAGCCTATTTTATTTTTTGTGGCTAAAATAGCCCAAAAAGCCCCATATTCTTCTTCCCAAACGGTGCCTAAAATGATTTACAAGCAATCACACATATTAATGAGACAAATATTTACGTGATTCGGTTCAATACTTATGTCCATAGGAGAGATTCACAATGATCAAAAACAAATACAAAAACAGAGGAGGAGTCTCATTCTCTCAACTCAACTCACAGCTGATACACTTCTCACAACTCTCTATTTTCTTCACTCTTGATCTCACTATCAACTTAGCTCACATCTCTCCCTATTATACACAAATGGGAGAGCTTACCTATTAACAACCAACCACCAAAAATAAACGACATACTGTCAATACAACCACCCTATAAGAGGATAGCTCGACTAAATGTCTCCACAAAATCTCTTGCCCAAAATCTGCAGCCTCTATTCTTGACTTTCAAAACCAACTTCACATGGTGTGAAATGCTCAACACTAACCACATAAAATATAGGTAAAGCAATTTGAATAGAATTGTATGTTTTGTAATATATCCCACAATCTAATATTTATATCTAGAATAATTATTCAAAAATTACTTAGAAAATAAATCTATGGACTACACATCTTGTTACAACCCAAATCCAGTACCTAAAGGTTAGGCGTCGCGACTAGATAGAAGTCATCAAAGGTCAATTCAAAATTTATTAACACAGCGGAATAAAATAAAAAAAGTACACAATATGTATTTCATTAAAATATACATTGGAATTTTTATTTGTATACAATAGCAAAGCTAGACTATATTATAATATGGCTTATAACTACTCCATGCACTGGCTCTGACACGTCACCTGAAAGTGGTTAACAATTATAAGCACATAGCAGAGCGAAAAATATTATACTGAGAGTATAAAGGTATAAAAGTTACCATGGATAATTAGTTGGTTAAACAGAGATTTGTTTCAGGCAAATAACCTATTAAAATTGCAGAGTACGTAATACGAAAATTATTTTAAATAACAGACATATAGTGCAGAAATCATATAAGCCAAATAATCATAACCGCGATATAGAACAGAATAGAGGGTCAATGAATATTTAAATCCCCCAGACATGGGACCTTCAGAGGGCCAGGTATTTAAGTTCTCAAGCATGGGAGTTTCAAAGGGCTAGGTAGTTGAATCCCCAGGCATGAGACCTTCAAAGGTTCACGGACGTGACAACAGAATAGAACAAAAGGTCAGTGGATCTATGACAAACAGAGTATCACCTAAAGTGACAACAGAAGATGGTCACATAAAGTGACAATTTAGAAGGCCAATAGTTATTAAAGTCCCCAAAGACATGGGACCTCGTGATAATACTTACAAAATAATTATTCAAAAACACATTGAATATACAGTTTTATCCATGAGTTTTCCTTTTTAAGCAAATAGGGTGTAATAACCCTCGTCACTGCTTATTGATAAACTACTAATTACCGTTAAACCGAACTGATTATGACTGATAAGTGAACTGAATGAACTACTGAACTGACTGACTGAAATCTGAAACTGATTGATTGAATGTATCTGTTTGAATTGTAATTCTATCTGTTTGACTGTTTGATTATCTGTTCATATTTTTATATTTAAATTGCAAATTGAGGGCCTTATCGATGGCCGAATCCGAAATTGATTGATGATTTGTGATCCTTAGAATTAATGTGATTTTATGGTATATTTACCTGAAAACTGATTATGTATGATTAAATTAGATTAAGATGAGTTAAATTGCAATTGATGCCCTATTTACCATATTGCCATCCTTAGTGGCCCACTACCTCAACATATTGAGCCTTGTACACACTTAGATCAAACATTTGCTCAGCTCATTTCCCTTGTTCTTGCCGACCACGAGAGTTAGAGTGTGAGGAAGTGAGTTCCTCCTTGGTAATTGCTTGTAGTCTTGAAGAATTGAAGGGATTGAAGTATAAATTTGCATAATTGAGCTCCTAGACCTTGAATACAAGACCTAAGGTAGTGTGATTACCCTCTTGTTTGTGAATTGAACTTGTTCTTGCATGGTTCTTGTCAAATTTAGTGGATTAAGGCATGAAATAGCTTCACATGTTGAATTAGAACTCATTTCATGCATGCATGTTTGAATTGTTCAATTTTGAGTTGATTCCATGGAGAATTGTCACATGCATGCTCATGGTTATGTTAAGTCCATGTTTTCATCTTGTTTTTGGAACAATCGGCTCCTTAGAGCATCAAATTGAAGCTTTGAATTGGTTTGAATTCATGCATGTTTGCATGTTCTCCATATTCATGAAATTGGTTTGAATTGGATTTATTTGAAACACCCATGGGTTTTGATTTTACAAATTAAGTTTTGAATCATGTTAAAGTATGAGTTTTGATGTGTTTTTTAGAAAATTGGCCCAGGAGGATCGAAATTTATGGTTTAAAACTTGGTTTTGAGCTTGAGGTTCAAATTTGAAATTTCCAGAATTTGGACTCACGCTCGAGCGGGGTGACTGGCGCTCGAGCGTGGAAATCGTGCTCCCAGCATTTTTGTTCTGTTTTGAAGTCCGCTCGAGCGGATTAATTGACGCTCGAGCGGGACATTGTGTCTCATGCTCGAGCGGGTGTCGAGCGCCCAATCGAGCGTGATTTTCACCTATCCAGCACTTTTGACTGTTTTTGCAGAACGCTCGAGCGGGTAAGTCTACGCTCGAGCGAAAACCTTTGTCTGCATGTCCGCTCGAGCGGAGTAACTTACGCTCGAGCGTGACCCCTGTTTTCCGTTTCCGAAAATTCTGAAAATGCTTTTTCAAGTGCATCTTTACATCCTCATCTTATCCTAGGCATTGTTAAGCCTAGTTTATAACATCTTAATGAGGATATAGATGTAGAACACACCGAGGCATATTAGGGGTTAAATTATTATCTCTTCCGATTGTGTAGCTTAGTGTGTTGTTCAATCTGTTAACTGTGTAGGATTGGCTTTTTGAGGACGTGCTCTAGCTTACTGTAGCCCAGAACTCTGTGAGTAACGATTGTGTAAAGATATGTTCAAAAATGATTATTTTCTGAACAACTGGACTGTACTGCTTTCTGAACTGATTACTGTTAACTAAATGAATGTATGTCCTATATTCTGAACTATATTGTGGCATCCTTAGCACCTACTATATTACTGATACTGTTACAGAGATCTCTGTCGGTTCCTTCGTTGGAACCACTACTGTTTACTGACCGATGGCCATCACTACTGTTCGGTCTTTTAAGACCTACTTTTACTGTTTACTGTACTGTTATGCTAATGGATGTACCACATATGACTGTACCGACTGAACAACTGAAATACTGATTTAATGAACTGTTTTCATTACTGTAAGGACATTCATTCTTGTTAATCATATTATTTATTTTGATGATGTCTAAAATATATTAGTTAATATACATATTATTTGACACAAATTATTATCTTTTTAAAATATATATATTTGTTAAATATTATTTAAATAAAATAATATTATCTTTTTAAAATATCTATGTTAAATATTATTTTAAATATTTTCAAAAACTTTACTATTCACTTTTTGAAAAATAGGGTTAATTACTATTCATCTTTTGACAAATCGATTAATTATATTATTTTGAAAAATAGGGTTAATTACTATTCATCTTTTGACAAATCGATTAATTATATTATTTTGACAAAAATGATTGATTGGTTGTATTATTTTGACAAATTTGATATTTATGGGTTGTCTTTTTTTGACAAAATTAATATGGAGTGGTAAAATATATTTAGTTTAAAATCTCTACAACATATACAATATTTTAAAGAGGATATATATTTTCAGATCCATCATAAATATAATTTTAGAGATTTTTCTGTATGCAAAATTTTGATCAGAACTTATATAACATTATATGCAGAATACATCACGTGCGCTATTAAATTTTTTACATTACATTGATATATCATATCACACTACACTACATTGATTATATCATATTATAATTAAACAAGAAGAAAAAGATGAGTTATATATATATATATATATAATGTGTGTATATATATATATATTACAAACTAGATGGAGAAAATTATTTGTTTGTTTGAAAGTTGTAACTTTGTATTAAATTGTTACAAAAATGGTGGCTCCATGTTTGAAATAACAAAAAGAAAAAATCAGTCTTATTTTTTATCTTTTGCTGACTATTCAAAATCAAGGAGTGTGCTTATGTAAGCGATGACATCAAGAGTGTGCTTATGTAAGCCATGACGTCAAGAGCGTGCTTATGTAAGCCATGACGTCAGCAATGAGCGTCCAACGGGTATAATTTTGTGTATAAATAGAAGTG